AACTTTAGTACGCGGAGCAATCTGTGGAGCTGGAAGCTGAGAACTGGTGACTTTGCAGTGCAACTTTAGTACGTGGATGAATCATCTCTCGCGGCTGAGTCACCTCTCGCAGCTGCTCTGGCGCCCCTGCAGCTGAGTCATGTCTCCCGACCACCCGGCTCTCTTAAAAGGTTGACACACACACACACAGAGACCCACGCACTGCCTCAACTTACTGGGAGACACACACAGACAGAGACTCATACACACACAGACATAGATACACACACACACACAGAGACCCACACACTGCCTCAACTCACTCGACTTAACACTTCACACTGAACACTTAACAGATAACTCACACTCTGACTTCCTACGTGATGAAAAATGCTTTCGGGCCACTCGTCGTCTAGTTAAGTGGCTAGTAAACCTCTGGCGCGCCAATATTGGTGCTATGTGTACAAAGTCGTTGCACTAAAATCGTTTCATGTAAGGGATACAGAGCGCCGATAGCGGCGCAGTGTGTGTGTGTGTGTGTTAACACCTGTCTCTAAGGTTTGTACCTGGTAAGTCTGCCGTAGGTTCCACTAGATGGCTGGGCGCTACTAGTAGCTTCTGGCCTATACTACAAGGAACCAAACTGAAAAAACACAGCGCGAGTCAAAAAGGAGATCAGGGACGTTTGGCTTGGCCTGATCCAACGAAGCTCCAGCCATTCGTCAGGATATTCTCGAGGGACGCCTTGAGAACGTACCTGCAAAGCCTGTTGAAACTGTTGAATAGGCTGTCCACTGCAGTGTTTTGCACTGATCGACTAGTGACCTGCGAGCAACCTTGTTCAACATCTACAAGTCTATCGACTCTGCCACCTTTCGGTTTTCGTTCTTTCAGTTCATCAAGTCAAGGGGGACTTCACACTGTGTGTGTGTGCGTGCACCAAATTTGCGGCAATTGCTGATATGAGCTTTGTTCCTCATCAGTCAAAAATTGAGGAACATCAAGCAACACCAAGTTTTTACGTGCTTTTACACTATCGGATGCATACTAGTTAACCCCACGCGTTAACAACTTCACCAGACACAGGAGCGGACAATTGGTGGTTGGTGGTTGATGGTGGTTGGTTGGTGGTTGGTGGTTGGTGGTGGTTGGTTGGTGGTTGGTGGTTGGTGGTTGGTTGGTGGTTGGTGGGTTGGTTGGTGGTTGCTGGTTGGTTGGTGGTTGGCGGTTAGTGGTCAGTGGTGATTGGCTGGCGGTCGGCGGTCGGTTGGTGGTTGGTTGGTGGTTGGTGGTTGGCGGTGGTTGGTGGTGGTTGGTTGGTGGTTGGTCGGTTGCTTGGTTGGTGGTTGGTGGTGGCTGGTTGGTGGTTGGCGGTGGTTGGTGGTGGTTGGTTGGCGGGCGGTGGTGGCGGTGCCAGGGCGTACATCCGACCCCTTGGAGAGCACCGCAAACCGGGAGAGTGGGTGACCCAGCAACGCCAGGGCGACGCCAGGGCGTACATCCGACACCTTAGAGAGCACCCACTACTGCGCCTGCCACGCAAATGACACCGGCAGAGCGGTGGTGAATTAGCAACGCCAGCGCGACGCCGGGGCGTACATCCGACCTCCTGGAGAGCAGGCGCACCCTAGCGCATTGCTTGGGGGGGCGTTCAATCCTGAGCCACGCTTGTCCTCGGCGTTGGAGGGATCCACCGTATCCCTGGCTGGCGAAGCATGGTTCTTTGACACAGTTCGCCACGCATGCCACTGCGCGACGTTGTTTCTGGGACAGCCCTGCCTGCTCCGTGGAACCACACTGGCAGGAGAGCGATACCATAGATTTGGTGATTGTGCGCATTTTCCATGGTTGGTTCAGAAAAAAGTCAGAGAAGGAGGCCTACCCAAATGCTTCGCCCACCATGGGTGGAGTGGCCTTCCTCTTTCAGTGCGCTCGTTCCAACAAGCCCCGTTCGCGCCGCGTGACCGCGTGACCTGTTTGTTGACGGTTCGTGCGTGAACCCAATGTGCCCCTACACCCGCGTAGCAGGGTGGGGCCTTGTGGCAGCAGACCCGGAAGATCCCATTCAATGGTGGCCTCTTGCCCAGGGCATCGTTCCGGGCAGGAGACAAGTGTTCGGGCAGAGATTTTGGCCGCCACTAGTGCATCCAGATTCTCGATTCGATTCGGCCATCCATTCCGTATCTGGGGCGACAACGCCCAAGTTGTCACGACTTTGCAACTAAGCCCTGCTCGCTCCATACACTTGCCGCCCCAGCCGAAAAGATCAAGACCTGTGGAGCACGTTGATAGAGTTGGCCCGAACAGTACCTCTGTTGTCAGCGCGCAAGATTGCCAGCCACCAATGCAAAGTTGGAATAGACTTCGTGGAACGTTGGGCCTTCACAGGCGATGACCAGGCTGACCATTGCGCTCAATGGAGCGCCCGGTATTGCCAGGTTCTCGTCAAGAAGTGGTGCCAAGCCACCTCCGACCTTGATGCAGCTCGAGTGCTCCGCAACCAGATCCATCTCACGATAATCCAAGTATAAGCGAAGCTGCTGTCACCCGTGACATTCCGGTCGAAGCTTTAGACCCGCTCACCATGGCGTTCCCTTTGCCTTTGACCGAAGCTACCATGGCACCCCTTCCACTCCGTCCACAAACTGCGACACACAAGTTGGTCAGCAGTGGATGGGAAAAGCTTTCGGAATGGAGCAACAGTCTTTTGCAGGCGACAGCAGAGGTGCTGTTCATCCCTTGGCTGTACTTGTACTTAGATTTTGTATTGCACACGGATAGCGGTGGCATTAAGCCGACCAACGCTTACAAAAAGTGGACCTGGCTGTCACGGGATGATGCAGGTCAATATGACTTGGTGTTGCGAGTCAAAAGGTTCCGCCTCATGCTGCTTAGAGTTCATCGGCTTGAGATTAAGATGCAGACTTCCCAATATGCACGACCATCGTCGCATGTCATTTGTTTTTGGGCACGCTGCGTTTGCTGCCGAATGCATCCGCAACGGCTCAAAGCAGTTGAAAACTACCTCCAGAAGTTCAATTCCGCGTTCCTCCTGGGCAAGGACGTGGAGATTGTCACGACCTAGCTCGTGACCTAGGGGTCGTTGGTCACCCCCGCGAAAGCTGCGGTGCCATCGTCTTGCGGAAAAGTGTTAGGTTGGAGGCCATCTCTCTTAGGTTGGAGGCCATTGCTAGTGGGTGGGAGGCCATCTCTACTATAGGTTGGAGGCCATCGCTACTACAGGTTGGAGGCCATCGCTATAAGGTTGGAGGCCATCGCTATTTGGTTGGAGGCCATCGCTATTAGGTTGGAGGCCATTGCTAGTAGCTTGTAGGCCATTAGGTAGTAGGTTGGAGGCCACCGCTATTAGGTTGGAGGCCATTGCTATTTGTTTGGAGGAAATCGCTACTTGGTTGGAGGCCATCGCTACTATAGGTTGGAGGATGTTGGAGGCCATCGCTACTAGGTGGGAGGCCATCGCTCTTAGCTTGGCGGCCATCGCTTGCTATTGGGGATCCCCATGCGGCTGAAAGAACATTGAGCAATCATCGTTGACTCCGACAACGTGACACAAGGTGACACTGCATCTTGAATGTCTGGCGCTTCTTGAATGACACTATTTGCGTCTGGACTCGATGTATCCGCCATTGGGCACCGCCTAGTGGTTGTTCTAAAGAAAACACCAAGACACCATAGTCGGACTTAGCGCCAATTTGAGTTAGAGTACATTGGAAATCGTCAAGCTGGTGTCCTGATCGTTCAGTTGACCGACCGTTTGAAGACGTCTGAACTCTACTTTTGGCTTGTTGATAAAAAGTTGTGTCCTTGCCTATCCGAGAATCCTGGTGAATTGTCTGCATCCAAGGGTCTCAAAGTGTAGAAAGGTGTTCTTTACCTCAAATCACATCACCAAGAGTTTCCAGCATTACTAGTAGCAAGTGCATCGCTACTAGAAACAAAGGCATTACTGGTAGTAGCAAGAAGCTACGAGGAGCTAAGGGCATCGCTACTAGTAACAAGTGCATTGCTACTAGTATCAAGAAGTTAGTAGTAACAAGAAGCTACTAGGGGCTCCTGGCATCGCTACTAGGAGCAAGGACGCTACTAGGGGCTCCTGGCCTTACTACTAGTAGCAAGAAGCTACTGGTAACAACGGCAAAGAACTCTTTTCGAAAGGCATTGCCGAGGTGCTGAGGCAGTGAGCTGTTCATCTTCCAGATCGGGGCAATTCTCCGTGGGAGACTCCTTTCTCTTTTAGGCGTAGGCCGCTAGGAGGTATGTAGTAGTTAGAGGTAGCTAGTAGCTACTGCATACAAGTAGCTACTACATATGGACGCAGCATAGCTCACGCACCAGTCATGTGGTTCCTAGATTTTTAGGGAAACTTAAGTTCGCCCCTATTACTTGGGTTGGGAGATGAGCCCTGACATATCTTCTAAAAATCAGCGCGATCAAAAACGGAAAACACACGCAAAATTCAAAGCCAAATGCTTGATGGATTTGTCAATACCTTGGTGTATTCATTGCCATGGCACCGAGCACAGCTCTTCCGGCAGCTGCAACGTCGGTACCTGGTCTCTGGAATTTTGGAGAGAAGCCTGAAGATCAGAAGCAAACCAACTTTACTACTATTGGGCTGAAACAACAACTTCTATGGGCGAAACACAATCCTTGCTAGAAATTCCATTTCTTGAATTGGTACATCAAAGTTTCTTGGGAGAGCACAAAAACGGCATTCACTGCGGCAATCAACTCCTCTGCCAAATTCCCAGAAAAGGTATCAGGAGATGCTGCAAAAAAAAACGCGGAAAATGGTCTGGGTGGAAATCATTGGCGAGTGCTAAAAGTTCTTTTGAGCAACAAGCTTCACCAAAAATCGTGTGCAAGTCTTTCGGGCTTGAGGCAAGTGCTTTGGGAGTGATGGGAGTCGCAGAACTTGCTTTTTGCTACAAGTTGGCAAGTTGGCATCTCTTCTCATACTTTGGCCCAGCTGCATTCGAGGACGAAGATTGCGCGCATCTGGGCGTGTCCTCATCCTCCAACAAGCTCTCATGTGGGTGGCTGTGACGCACCAAGCCGGGCTTTACCACCTAGGGATTGGACTGACGGGGGTTAACACTGAGGGCTGGAGAGATGACTTGCCAATGGCCTCCAACCTAATTAGGGTTTCTAGAAATGAGTGACATGAACAACTCAAAACTGCATCAACAGAAAAATAAGAACAGCAACCTTATGTTCGAAAAGGAAGATTTGTCAGACCATGCTAGCATCTGGTATCCACTCCTGCCATTCAGTTTCTTCAAAGGCACTCGCTTTGGTCTGCATTTTTGGAGGTCCCCTTGCGCATGTGCAAAATGGCAATCCTGCAATCGGCAATTTATGGCCCCATGATGCCCCATGGCAGGAACAAGGACACTACTAGGGGCTCCTGGCATCGCTACTAGGAGCAAGGACGCTACTAGGGGCTCCTGGCCGTACTACTAGTAACAGAAGCTAAACAAGAATTCAATTAAAACCATTTAATTAAAACCGTTTAATTAATTCAACAACAATTTTCAGCTCAAAGCTCTCTCTCCTCGCCCGCTGGACATTGGCCGTGGTGGTAGAGGATGCACAATTTCGTCCGCGTCAAATCGGGCTTCTGCTTCAGATGTTCAACTCCATGCGCGAACGAACAAGCACTTCCTGCGTTGCAGTCATGGACGTCCATCCGGCGATGAAAGACATAAAAACGTCAGCATGGCGATGGGCTCAATAGAAAACATGTTAGGTCAGGAAGATGAATCATTCTTATAAAGGAAAATGCTCTAACATGCACTTGTTCTGAGTTGTTTGGGTAAGTCAAATGTAGTTATAAGATGTTATAAGTCATACGAAGTTCATCTTGAAAAGGCGCCCCATCAAGCCTCGATTGCATTTTCCTCGTTCCTGAGTTCATCAGATCATGATTTCACGCCGTCACTTGCAAGGCCAACAGCGGAACACCAAAGAACCAAGGACGCTACTAGGGGCTCCTGGCCTTACTACTAGTAACAAGAAGCTATTAGAAACAAGAAGCTTTGGATATCTTTGGTGTAACATGAACCAATGAACTTGATTTTCGTCTCAGACTCAACCCAAAACATCCCAAAACCATTGCTAGTATGTTGGAGGCCATTGCTTGGAGGCTGTGGTAGGTTGGAAGCCATCGCTTATAGGTTGGAGCCCATCGCTAGTAGGTTGGAGGCCATCGCTTCTAGGTTGGAGGCCATCGCTAGCAGGTTGGGGCCATCGCTTCTAGGTTGGAGGCCATCGCTAGTAGGTTGGAGGCAATCGCTTCTAGGATCAAGGCCATCGCTACTAGGTTGGAGGCCATTGCTTCTAGGTTGGAGGCCATCGCTAGTAGGTTGGAGGCCATCGCTATAGTATTGTAAGCAGCGGCCTACCACCAAAATCACAAGAACAACAGAAGCTTGTCACTGTTGGCACGAACATCAAGTTGCCTTCAAACAGCCTTGCTAGGCATTGTAGCATCCCTTGCCTCCGTCCCCCGTCACGTGCACCCGATAACACCTATTGCAGGCGAGTGTCGAAGAACTTGCATAGCACAGTGTGCGTAAAAATGTTTTCCGACATGCACTCATAGACACCTAATTGACTCTGACGAAGCCACACTGCAGAGAGCGTTCGATCGATGCAAACTTGCGTGGAGAGCAAAGGCGCATTTTCAGAAACTCTGAATGCACTGCACTACCTGAGAATGTAGAAAGCAAAAGCCAGCAACAGGCCGAGGAAAAATATGTCGTCGGCGGTGCGGCATCAAACTTTTCATTTTTGTCCATATTTGTTCAAAGCAGTGAACAAGTGCGTCGCTACTAGGAACAAGTGCATCGCTACTAGGAGCAAGGGCCTTACTAGTAGTAACAAGAAGCTACTAGTAACAACCAAAGCAGTCAGATGTCGTTTCATGACTCCAACAAGTGAACCTTCAACCGCAACCCATATTGAAATTGCAATTTGTGGCACAAGCCCTCGTCCCCCCAACTCCCTCACTTCATGCAGCGGTGTCGATGAAAATCAAATCACCCGGTGAAACTCAGGTTGGGAGGACTCAAGACAATTGCGGTGAATGTATTTTGAATCTAAAAATGACTTGCGATGATGTTACCGGCATTCACGTGGCCGCGACGAAACCCTCCTTTTCCCTTTTCTGTTCGGAGCAGGTAGGCACAAAGCCTAGGGCAGATTTGACTGCAAAGCAGAATCGAACTGCAAGTCACCTGTATTGGGCAAAATCTCACGTTCATCAATCAAAAAAATGCACCATCATAACTATAACTATCATAACTATAACCTTGCAAACTAGTAACTTGAGTCTGCTCAAAGGAGGTGTGAAGGGTGCTGTGTAGTTTCAGCGTGCCATAATATGCAATGTTTTGCAAGTCATTGCTACTAGGTTGGATACAATTGCTTCCAGGTTGGAGGCCATCGCTACTAGGTTGGAGGCAATTGCAACTAAGTTGGAATTAGGTTGGAGGCAACTGCTACTACGTTGCTACTAGGTTGGAGGCAATTGCTACCAGGTTGAAGGCAATTGCTATTGGGTTGGAGGCCATCGTTACTAGGTTAGGGGCCATTACTATGTTGGAGGCCATTGCCATTAGGAGGCCATCGCTACTAGGTTGGAGGCAATTGCTACTAGGTTGCAGGCCATTGCTATTAGGTTGCAGGCCGCTGCTATAAGGTCGGAGGCCATCGCTATTGGGT